GATGCGAGGGTAGGGTAGTGTTTTTAAGGGGAAGGGCCGGGGAAAGCGAGGGACAAGGCTTCAGCGCTGGAGTGGCGACAGGAGACGGGGTGAGGTAGGGTATGATAAGCACGAGGTGGAAAGTTAGAGGGTAGGGGTTAGGGGGGGGAGCGCATGTGGGGGCTCGTGAACAGCTTCGGAAGGCCATAACGGAGTCGGCCATCAGTTGAACGAGTACCAAGCTAGTAGAAATACAGTGGGTGAGGATTAAATTGTGTATCAAAAAAAAGAGATTAACATAGGACTAGAAGAGTCAGACGTAATAAAAAGGGGTAAAGCATTTGAACAGATTAATAGACAGAACGCATGTAGATACAAGCTAAGTTAGCAGCGTCGCGGGAAAAAATCGGGATGAGAAAGAGAAAGAATGGAGAGGCCGGAAGGTACACAGGAATAGAAGAGTAAAGCATTGAAAAAGTAGGGGCGAGAAGAGAAGTAGTTAATAAAAGCAAGGTACGGCAAGTACGAAAATTATCAGAGTGGGTAGCATTACGACGCTGAGGAATGTCCATAAGGCTAAAAATAGGGGGAAATAGCGATGAGTGCAGCGTGCAGGAAAAGGAAGAAAAGGAATATGACGTCAATGGAGGGGAAAGGGCGAGAAAGGAGAGTCATAGAGAATTAGTAGAGATATGAACGAGGGGAAGTCCTGGAGTGGGGAAGTGGGAAAGAAAAAGGCATGATGCTCGGTGAGAGGGCACGAAGAAAGGAAGAGCGTATATGAAGGAAAGGGTTTGCATAGTGCTGTGGGGAAGGACTGGGGATAGAAAGATGGGGAAACTTGCACCTTAAGAAGCACGAGTAACTTAGAGAACAAGACAGATGGGAAAGAAAGAAAACCGTCCAGAGTATAGCGGTAGCAATTAATCAGAAGAGAAACGGATCAAACAGTCATAACAGTCATGTAGAGTCGAATCCAATAGACGACGTTTAACATCGGAGAACAACACAGGAGACCAACAATGAGAAGGACGACTTAAAACCGCAGCGGAAAATAATACTAATACGTAGCGGCAAGGGGCTAGAGGCACAATACGGAAGGAAACGTCAAGAAATGAGACTAAGAGCTGTACTAGATCAAGTGCTAAGACGATGGATATAAGCTCACTAGATGATGATGATTTAGAACGCTTAAAAATTAAAGGAGCAAAAACCAAGAACGCAGAGGAAAAAAATTAATGTCTGAACAGAAACCAATTGAGAAAGAATACAACGAAAGAGAAACACAAACTCTAAGGAATAGTTGCTCGGAAATAAGCTAATACGCAGAACGGGCTAGTAAATAAATCAACCAAATCAAAAAGGTAGATTCGTGACAAGGAGTGAAATAAAAGTTGAAGAAATAGAAACACCATGTATAAAAACGAGAACAGAAGTTTAGAAGAAAGAACGCACAAAAAGACTATGCTCGAGCCGGGACAGAGATTAAGCTCGGGAACGATTAGAAAGAAGTAGCGCGAGTATGGAGCGGATCGTGAGTTAGGATAAGCGAAACGGAAAGACGCAAAACAAGGTTTTGTAAGTTGGGGGAAAATATGGGGACGGAAAATCTAAAGAATACGGCGTTAAAGAGACGCCATAATGTAAAGGAACCTCTATAGCTCGATAAAAAAATGTTGGAAAAAAGTTCTAGAAGCATTAGGAAATTCCAAACTTCTATGGTAGCGACCGACAAAAAACAGGATAAGACCGGGAAACAAATGACCGACGAAAACAGGATTAAAGTGAGACCAGTAAAGGCGGGCGTAGATCGCCACATATCAGAGATAGGCACATACGTGGGAGGAAGAGGGTGAGGTGGGTAAAGGGAATGGAAGATACGGCAGAGAGAAGGCGAGACTGTAAAGATTGAGGAAGAAGGGGGGAAAAAATGAATAACTGAACGGGACGTGGGGGGAGTCCTAAAGGCAAGAACGCAAGCACGGGACAGGAGCAAGAAGAGGGGTTACAGGATTCGAGGTGAAAGGTAAGTTGGGAGTTATAGCAGTCTGTACGTCTCTAGATTGAACCGACCGTGGGTGAAAGACGTGCTGGACAGATCTACAGAGGAAAGACAGATGGATCACAGTTTCGGGAAACGTGACACGTACACGAACTGCTAGATCATTTCATTGGATTACGGAGCGAGGGACTATAAAGGATAATGAAAAATAATAGGAAAAGCCGTAACGTAAAGATGAATACGCAAAGCTCATGCTACTTGGGTGAGCATGATTGGGGTAGTGTACGATGGATGGAAGGAAGAAGCGCATTATATAGGGGGCCAAGTGGATGGGGAGAATTAAAGGGAGAGGGGTATGGTGAGGTATTATCCATAGTGAGAGCAAGGAAAAACGAAATGGCGCTTAAGGAGGGTGGATAAGGCTGCGGCTGAAGAAAGAAGGGAGGACGGTAGGGAAGAGGCGGATGGGACGCTGCAAGTAAGTGCTTTCGGAAATAGTGTCCGGGTGGTCCTCCTTGAAGTCAGTACATGTGAAAGCGCGTGTACGCCCCCCCCTTTTAACTAAACACCAGCGCACAAAGCGTAGGGGGTTAGTAATTTGAGATCTTGCAAGGGCCCCAAGGGGGGCAGAGTACGCAGGGGAGCCCGAATAAGAAACGCACCATTCACTTGGAGAAAACAGAAGACCAAACCAACCATGAGACTTGCCGGGGGTGAGTCGACTGACGGGGGACGTATTGCAGTAGTACCCCGCAGACCATATGATCTTGGGAAGCTGGTATGACCCTCACGGCTGACTGATAGTATGTTGGGGTAAGCTTTTGGTGCGCATGCTCGCTTTAAGTTAAACGAGTTTATACGAGAAGAGAAAGGTGGTGTATTAAGGAACGCTTAATGTTGCGAGATGAGGTTTGTTCCCTCAATCTTCGACCTGGATCCGGGCTCTTATTGATTTTTGACGGACTGTGCTAGAGTCCCCATTTATACCACGTTAGTTTTTTCCACGTCTCTATTTCTCGTGGTTCCTACCGTCCTACTTGTCCCCCCCGTTCAGCGCACGGGTGCCCCTCCCCTCTCCTTCGTTTTTTTTTCCTTTCCCACTGTCCCCCGTTTTTTTTCTTCCCTGTCCCTCATTCCTTTTTTTCGTTCTTTTACTCGTTTTCACGACCCCTGTCTTTCCTCCTTTACCTCTCCTCTCCTTCCACCCCCCCCCGCTCCCCCTCCTACTCCCCGGCTTCCAGCTTTCCCGCCCCCCCCTCTCCCTGCGTCAACCTACCTCTGTGCCCGGTCATGGCTCTGTCCTCCCGGAGCTCCTGTGCCGCGCCACCGTTCGTGTGGCCGCGAGGTTGCTGGCTGTGTCCATTACCGCGGGCAGTGGGGGGGGGGTGGACACCTGCCTTTTGCGTCCTAATCTGTTCTGGCCGGTCGTCTCGTGTCGGCGATTTGTTTAACTCGCGTTGTGCCCCCATCCCCGGTCCCTTCTCCTCCGGCCGGAGCCTGGTTTTGTTATCAGGGGTGCTGGCTTAATTGCTACGGCTGGTGTTCCGGGGGTGGCGCGTTTGAACCTGCGAATGTGGTTTTTGTCCCTGGCTGGGCGGAGACGTGCCCGGATGCGGTTAATTGTATTGCCGCTGCGTTACTTGGTGTGAGGCCACCCCCGTGTATGGACGCCTGGGGCCGGGGGTGTGCACTCGGCGGTTGTGCCTGTCTCTTCTGGATCCGGCCGTTTAGGATCCGATGCCGTCGAGTGTGTCGCTCGATTTCACATCCCTGATGCGGCCCCCGTCTATGGCAGACAGGGCATATGCCGTGAGTTGGCTTTGCCCTGATTGCTTACGCGGCCCTTTCGCTACCAATGCGCGTTGGCTCCGTGTCGGCCAGCGATACTGAGTTTTTGCGCTGCAGGTCCTTGCGGGGGGCCGACTGGGGGTTGCTGGGTACCTGGTGTGGCTTCCCCGTTTTGTACTCTCTAGGACTGGGGAATGAGGGTGTATGACTTGTGGAGCCGGCGGCTGTCGGGGTACCTCCCCCGAGTTGCTTGAACTGGCGCTGGTTGTCTTTGGCTTGGGCTGCAGCGGCGCGGTCATATGGCGCCGTTGCCCTCCCCGTACGAGTAAATTAGCTTGATCCCCGATGCGGCCTTCGGTCGTTGCGGCTCGGCTGGGTTCGAGTGGGTGGACCGCGATTGTGGTGCGGTGCTTTGGCAGTTTGGCTGCCTTGGCTCGGCCTCTTTCCCACTCCCTCCCCCGTGCGCGTTCCCCGTGGGCAGCTAGCTTGTGTACCTACGTGCCGGTGTGCTCGACGGTGTTGCCGCGTGCCTATCTTTGGCGTTTCATGGTTCGTTGGGGGGTACCCTCGCTCCTTGTAGCAGGTGTATCCGGCTGGTGCCCGGGCGGTTTCGGGGTACCTTGCCGTTGTGCGGACCACGCCAGCGTCGTGGTCGATCTTAGCGAGTCTGGCGAGGTTAGAGATTGTTGTTCATCCAGGCTTCGCCACCGCCGCGTCCGTTAGCGGCTTCTTCTGCGGTGATGCGTAGCGCTGTGTTTGACTCCGGGGGCAGTCGGGCTTGGAGGCGTGGGACATCTACCCCGGTGTTGGGTCGGAGGGGCTTATTGGCTGAGTGCGCCGGGGCGCCTGCCCCCGTGCGCCGGAGGCCTCTTTTGGTCCCTGTGGGTGTCTTCTTTTTTTTTTAGAGACGTCCGTTCTTCTGTTTTGTTGTGTTTTTTGTGTTTTGTTATCTTGTGTTGTTTTTTTTTTTTGTGTTGTTCTGTTAGGGGAAAGGGGGATGTGTTGTGGGCGGGTCTGTTTTGGGGGGGTGGGGGGGGGTGGTTGTGTGCGCATGCTGAAGCGAAGCATGCGTGACGCGAGCATCGAAGAAAGTTTGTAGCTTGAGGTCCGGATTATGGGTGTCTGAATTAACGACTTTTGACTGTATTTAGAATAATTAATTTAAAACAAAACAAATTGTGCAATATCATTTCAGTTTTCTGCCTTTGCATCCCAGCATCATTAACAAAATAATTCATTCTGCAAGAGCAAAAGGGGAAAAAAAAATTTTTTTTTTTCTTGTGTTCTTCCACAATGTGAAAGAGTGGCTTAAGTTTTCTCTAACTGTTTGCTGTATGATTTTCCACATCAGCTGAAAGAAGTAAGTGTTTGTTCTTAGGTACTGAATTTGGCACAACTTATTATTATGTTTTTGGCATTCTTATTATCTAATGAGTTTTCTGATTCAAAGTTTACATTACAAAGTTCTATTTTACTGTAGATTCAATTTCAAAGTTGTTTATTTAAAGCTGGCTTATTTTAAAGATGAATTATTCTTATTACTGAGTTTCTTGAAGTTCATATAATAATGAAGCACCATTTTTTTGGGGGGGGGCAGCATAGAAATTTGAAGCATGGTTACAAATGATACAGAGGGCCTTTTAAAAAGTTTAATTCAACTAATGTGTAGATTTTGATCGTCCTCTGAAAAATAAAAATTGCTTAAAAATGATGAAACATAACAGGCATTTGCAGTCATATGTAAGCTAAGAACATGAGACATATGCAGATAATATAATGAAAGGAAACAGCTAATTAATAATTTATGATATGAAAGAAAAGCTTTTTTCGTCATAGCTAGTTGTAAGTTATGAATTTAACAAGTTCAGTGTGTTATTAATATCTGTTTTAAGACAAGAAACATTTTGCTGTAATCAAGGTTTGAATTCAGCTGATGCCCGGTTCTGTATTTCTAAATCGAGTGAAATCTTAATTCTAGGTAAAGTACACTGGATCTTTAAATGAGAGAGACTGTATTGTACAACTGAATTGCAATATTAATAAAAAGCACATTCTGTTTAGCAGTTAGTAAAACCGGTATTGGCACTAGATATAAAATGAACAACTCAATTTTCCCTTGAAGAACAAAATGCATAGAAAAACTTCAGTAGGTGAGGAAGAAAATCCTCCATGTAAATATGTGAATCCATTAGGAAAAGGAATTTTTAGGGGCTGCATGTATTTGGTCAAAATAGATTTAAGAGAAGTCGAAATAAAAACACACTTATATATCTCTGTGCAATGAATAATAATAATATTATTTACTTTTCTTTCCTTTATTGACCTCTTAGACTGTATAGTGGTTAGCAGAGATTGAGGCTGATGGCTAGTCTAAATTGTAGGGTGATGGTTTGCATCTTATCCAAGGGTTGATTATTTATACGTCCTTTCAGCTTTTCATGAATGTAATATCATATTGCTGCTAGTGATATACCCTTTGCAACATTCTCGTTCATGAGATGGCTAAATGACTGATTGGCTTGGTAATTCATAATTAACAAAAGTTAAGTATTGGGGGAGAGAAAGAAAACTGAGGTCATGCACTTTGTATCATGCTTATTATCATGAACTTAATTATCTGTCATTTGTTTTAACCTTATTGTATTATTAATTTGCTCATTTCATTTTTATGATATTTTCATTCATTATTTACCTAATTATTGTTAACTTAATTTATTAATATTTTTATTCTATTATTTTAGTTAATTATAATTATTTAGTACTTGTTTGACTTATTAATTTCACAGATTTATTATTCTTTTATGATTAATTTTATTCCCATTCTTGATTTTATTCTATAGAATTGTAGTATTTCTAATTTTAAAAATTAAGCCTTGGCTGTAGTAGTAAAATATGTTTTAGAGATTTTCAGTATGAGTGATAAAGAATAGATATTCACTAAAATAGGTAAATAAAAATATCTGTAAAACTTTGTGAAGATATGAAATAAAAGTATCTGTAAAACTTTGTGAAGATATGATAAAAAAGGCAATATCAAATCGATTTATAAATTATATACATACCTTTATAAAACAAGAGTTGCCTTTAGAGGCCTTGATCAATCTGCTGATTCCATGAAAGATAAAATTACATAAAATTAATAAATAAGAGTAGAAACATGTAGGCACAGTAAGCATAGATATTTCTTATTGCTAGAATGATTTTATAAATTCCAGTTAAAAAATCACATGAATGCCATATAAAGGAAGCAGAGATTTCTCAGTTTACATAGTCTAAAAAGCACATTATAGTTCTCAAAAATCCAGTACACAAGAGTAAAAATAAAATTTAAAAAAAATTCTCCCCAAACAGAATGTGAAATCAGTTATTTAAATTGAGAGACAGCAATATACTAAGAAAATGTGTGAAAAGCTTGATTTTAATAATAATTTACAAGCTTTCTAAATGTAGAAAAATTTCCATCTTCTATAAATTTATTCCCCAAATTTTATTAAATATATTTGGCACTAGTCCTGAGAATTATTTGAATTAAATGTTCTCCATTGTCCATTCAGATTGAAAAAATTGCTTTCATAAATTTATACTATATCTAAGTATTAGCGGTGTTTGTAACATGATCAATGAAACTTAACAATTCGCAGATTTTGCCAATACCTGTGTTAACTATATAGTGTTCAGCTTTTATTTGGCACAAAGATGAAGCACTAATTGATTAATATGATTTATTTACTGGTTATACTTGGAAATATATTATAAATTAACCAACAGTGAATTATCACCTAAAATTTGGTGAATAAGTGCATTTCATTATTTTACATGTTATGAGATATTTTACAGTATATTAATATGCAAATACTCTATGCAGTTTTTTAATACATCTAGTTTGAACTTCCATTCTTTAATATAATTTTTAAAAATTTGGTATTCAGCATGCCCTTCAAGAAGATTCAGGATAGCCCCTTACTAAAGCCTAAAGTGTTGTAAAAAATATCTTGCTCCTGAGATTAGGGCTCACAGTAAACTCCAAAATACAAGATACTTCAAATACAAGATACTTCTTATTTTAAACAGTTGTTTAGCATGTCTGAAAGCTGATCTTCTAGAGGAAAACCACATTTTTAATTGTGTACCATTAAGCTGCACATCACTAATCAAACTATAAGTCAATGCTAATATATGTTCCATTGGATGGTCCAAGATAAACTAATATCGAAATATCATATATAATCTCAAAATGTATACTGTTCATATTTATTTATTACGTGGCAATGTCAAATTTAATTTTTAAAATATCAATTACTGAAATTTTATTTTATTTTGTGTAAATGGAAGGTGATAATTGAATTTATGGCTAACAAAATCAAGTTGGAGATGAAGTTTTTTTGGTGCTTATTGGCACTAAAGAATGTACAGTTTTTATTGCAGAAACATCCTCCTTTTTTTGTGACGTTTGCAGTAGAACATTCATTCTAAAACTCAAGTTCTTTTAAAAATTTGTTCTAAAGTTGACATTACTTTTGTGAAGTTTGTTACAAAATGTTTAAGCAGTTGTCTTCCCTTGCAATCTTTGAATGATTCCTTCTTGTCAACATACCTTACAAGTGTGAAACATGCTATAGAATGTTGAAAAAAACGTATCTTGATGCTTCTGATTTATTCTAAAAAGTGAAGGATTATCCTGGTTTAAGGATTTTTTTGAAGCATAAGAGAGCTTCTGATCAAAAAGACAGTATAAATACATGAGTCTGATATCCAAAAAGACAGTATAAATACTTGATAGTATTTTATAGCTACAACACAAATAAAGCGTACAACTGCATCACTGTGCAATCAGTATGAATCATTAATATTCATTAATTTGTGTTGACATGTGATATGTTTTGATTACTAAGGAGTATCATAATGCATTTAGTAAATTGCAGGTAACATTTTTAGATGCATATTTTAAATTATTCTTAACCTTTGTTATTAAATATAGAAGAATCTGCATGTTCCTTGCATTATGGGAAAATGGCAGCACCTACAGCCAGCAGATTTTGTACACACATAGTCCTTCACCTGAATGTATGTACTTCAAAGTCCAAAGTTTGATTTCTTTTTATTATTTCATATTTTAAGCAAATTTAATGTATGTTTGATTAACGAATTCTGTAGTTTGAAAGCAGCATCTTTCCATTTGAGAAAGCATGAGAAATGAAACATGCTTGAGGAAGTATTGTTCAGATTTAATCCGAAAACTCATTTAAAAGATATGAATTGTTATTGCATGAAATAAAATATTTCTATCCTCAACCTACCAGTGTGTTGCTATTCAAGAACAATTATTTAATTTTTCTTTCAAATTTAATCTCTCTATTATTGATTAACAAATTAAGCAATTTAAAAGTAATAAATGCAATTCTTCTTTATTCTTATTCTAGTTAAATTATGTAGCTGAACTGATTAAAATCATCATATGTTTTTACTTTTTTTATAATAATTATTTCAGGTGACTAATCACACAAACAGCTAGTGTAATTAAAAATGCATATTAATTTAATTTTAATTCAAAGTTTCATTCATAATTTTAATACGTATGAATTTTCAGTGTTAGAATCTGTCTGAAATAGGAAAATGTCTTGGAATTCATATTATGTACTTTTGAAAAATTGCTTTTTTTAATTTATATTTTGTAATTCTGAAATGTTCAGAAAATGTATGCAGTTGGACTCTACTGAATGCTAAAGATAAAAATTTGGTGTTTAAAATAAAACCTTGCTATATCTTTTAGAGTTTCAATGTCTGAAAAAAACTGTAAATACCTAAATGTGCATTTTCAATGTCAGTCATGGATTCTTTCATATTTATTTGTCACCAATTTTGTTTACTTTCAGTTGCTTTGTATTGATTGATGGAGAGACTTAAATCTTTACATTGTTAAAGAAAACCTTGGTACAATATTTGGTAGAGAATGACTTTTAGAGATAAATTTAGATTGGTCCTCAATAAAGTCAATTTCTCTCTCTCAAAAGAGTAGTTTAAGTAAATTATTGGAACAATATAAAGAAATTTTTGATGGAAAATTAGGAGAGGTAAAAAATTATGAGGTTCAACTTGAACTGAAGCCAAATGTTTCACCAAAATTTTGTAAAGCTAGGTAAGTACCATTTGCATTAAAGGGCTGAATAAATGAAGAAATTGATTGCTTGGAAAAAGAGGGTATAATTGAAAAGGTTGAAACGTTGGAATGGGCAAATCTGGTAGTACGAGTAGTTAAGCCGGACGGCTCTATACGACTGTGTGCCGACCACTCGGTGACAGTAAACCCAAATGTTGTTATGCATCAACACCCTTTGCCGACCATAGAGGAATTTCATGTTTGAGCAGGGAAAGGCATTTTTAAAAAATTAATTTTAAACATGCTTATTTACAAATGAAAGTACACCCAGAGACTCAAAAATTGCTAACAATAAACACACGGAAGGGATTATAAAAGTGTAAGAGATTACTGTTTGGGCTGAATGCAGTGCCGGCATTCTGGCAACGTTATGTAGACGGACTATTCCACGGAAGGAAAGGTGTAAGGTCTTCATGGATGATGCGCAGATAACACGGGCACATTTAAATACTTTAAAAAGTTCTTCGAGAAATGTAAAACTCATGGACTGAAATTAAATTGAGAGAAAAGTAAATTTTTTCGGGATGAGATAAAATTTTTAAGTCATAAAATTGATGCTAATGGTTTACATAAAACTGATGAAAAAATATCACCGATTGCAAAAGCCCCCAAACCCAGAAATGTCCAGGAAATTCAAAGTTTTTTGGGATTGGTTAAATTTTATGGAAAATTTTGCCCTAATTTAGTGACAGTCGCAAAACCCTTATATCGATTAACTAAGAAAAACTCAAAATGTGTTTGGACAAAGGATTGTCAGAAGGCTTTTCTAAACATTAAAAAAGAATTGTGTTCACAAAAAGTTTTGATACATTATGATCCAAAATTGCCCTTAACATTGGCAACTAATGCATCACCAGTGGGGTTAGGTGCGATATTTTCTCACAAACTTCGTGATGTAACAGAAAGGCCAACTAGAACACTGACTGAAATGGAGAAGAAGTATTCTCAGACTGATAAAGAAGCTTTCAATCATTTTGGGAATTAAAAAAATTTTTCTGTATTTAAAAGGCAGGAAATTTACGTATTTAAAAGGCAGGAAATTTACGTTAATTACAGATCATAAACTTCTTGTTGCAATTTTCGGCTCAAAGAAAGGCATGCCAGTTTTGGCAGCAGCAAGACTCCTACATTACGCTTTCGCTTTACAGTCATTCCAATTCGACAGAGGCGTAGCTAGGGTTAGCTAGGGTTTTCAGCAACTGGGGAGAACTGAAGATTTTGCGCCCCTTTCTGTGTGCCAAGAATGGAAAACATTTCACTCTAAAATTTCATAACATCAATTTGGCACCCCCTGAATGCTGCACCTGGGGACAGTTGTCCCCTCTTGTCCCACTAATATCGAATTGCAGTGGCATAGATGTCCCCTCTATGCCACTGCAATTCGATATTATTTCCCGTAAAACAAATGAGCATGGTAATGCTGACTTTCTATCATGATTGCTGACGAACTCAGAACAACTGTCTGTTCAGGATGATGTAACTATTTTTCAATTACAGCAGATAGAAACTCTCCCAATCGCTGCCAAAGATTTGGCTAAAGAAACTGAAATTGATGCTGAACTCAGTCCTCTGCTACGAATACTTCAAAGCTGCAGGGAATTGAAAGGAAGGGAGATAGAGTACAGTTTCCAAGATGGCTGTATAATGTATGGTCAACGTGTTTGTATTCCAAAATTATACTGTGATAATGTTTTGAAGGAATTGCACCACAGACACTTAGGCACTGTAAAGATGAAAGCAATTGCTAGATCTTACATACTTTGGAATGGTATAGATAAAGATATTGAAAATACTTCCAAAAACTGTTCTGAATGTGCAAAACATAAAATAGATCCTCCTAAGGTAAAAGTTCATCATTGGGAGTACCTGAGCGCTCCATTGGAACGTATTCACATCGATTATGCAGGAGCATATGCTTTTTATAATCGTTGATGCTCACTCAAAATGACTAAAAGCCTATCCAATGAAATCAAGCTCGACTGTCAAAACAATAGAATGTTTACGGAACTTTTTTGCACGATTTGGATTACCAATATTTAGTGAGTGATAATGAGCCACAATTCACTTCACATGAGTTTAAGATATTTCTACAGAGTAATGGAGTCAAACGCAAAACTACAGCACCATTTAAACCATTTTAGTAATGGACAGGCTGAACTGTATGTGTTCACAGTAAAACAATCTTTAAGAACAATGCAAAATTATCCAGGAACTTCGAGACAAAAACTCAGTACATTTTTGATGCAATATAGGAAAGCTCCGAATTTAACTATGCAGAGCCCTGCAATGCTGAAGAGGGAAATTCGAGCAAGACTAGATTTATTGAGACCAGATCTCAAAAGGAGGGTGGAAGACAGAGTTCGAAAAGGAACCTACGAGTTTGCAGACTGAGGATTTAGAGTAGGAGATAGAATGGCAGTAAGAAATTATCGCTAAGGTGATAGACGATAGAGATTTGGAACCGTCCAATCCAAGGATAGGCCGCTTCATTACACCATAAATGTAGATGATCAGCTATGGCGACAACATGTTAATCAGATGCGTGAGGGAGGAACCGTAACAGATGAGGGTTTCATACGTCCACCTCCAGCTCTCATGATTTTCAAAGAGCCTGATAACAGTAGAGTTGCAGAACCATCCAAAGATAATAGCCACCAGGCAGATGAGTCTGTGTCCTCCTATGAGCCCAAGGTTGTACGAGATGTTCCATCCACCGGACCTGCTGCTGATATAACCAGGTTACCAAAGAAACGTGCTGTGCCACAACCTTTGCATCGGTCCAGTAGAATTCGACATCCCCCAGATAGACTGCAGTTATGATAAACCGGGAGGAATGTGGTATATTGAGAACTATCGATGTCGTATATCATAATTGGATTTAAAGCTGGCTCAGCACCAATCATCGAAGCGGGCACAGTAATAAGAAAATAACTGGAATGCGAGTAGTTGTACATATAAGTGTGTATGCGAGTGATGATATATTTTGTTCATATAAAAAAGTAGCATGTAGAGTAAAAGAGTGTATGTTATGAAATAATTACTCACGAAAAGATACACAGTAGATGGTATGACATGACATGAGCATTTAATTTGGATCATTTTGTTTTCAATTTTTATAATATAACCTACATGTTATTATATGTCTTATTTTTTTATGAAACCATCTGTATTTTGTAAATATATTTTGAAGAGAAAGTGGTTAAAATTTTCCCATATTGTTTTATTCCTAATGTGTGTTGACTTTGTATATCCTAAGTGAAGTATCTATGATGGGCAGAGCATAACAATAATAGTAGAGATTTGCACCATAAAATCAAGCAGCCAAACAGTTATCAGAATTTGAGAATTATATTTGCATTTTCAGTGCTTGAGATTGCCAGTTATAAGAAGAGGTATGTTTTGAGAGAATCTAGATAGATATATATAATATAATATATATATATAATATATATATATATATATATATATATATATATATATATATATATATAATATTTACTAAATAATATTGATTAATTGATATATTATCTCCAAAGTTTAATTAAAGTAGAATTATCTTAAAAGAGTGAATTCATACTAGTAAGTTATTTTGAAAGATGTGTTGAAGTAACTTGAAAGTAAAATGTTAATAATGTTTTAACGGGGACTGGAATTAATCATCATGAATGAAGAACAGAATTTCAATTGTAAAGGAATAAAAAAGGCAAGAATTAAATTAACTGCATGTAATCATGTAATTAATCGGAAATTAGTTGACTTTTCAAGGGGAACAAAACAACTCCCGTTCAATGAACAATAATTAATAAATAAATACGAAGGTGTTTCATCTTTACTCATGTAATAAGGCTAAGCCATACCGGCAATTCAAGTCAGGCCAAATATTTCCGTGAATAGAAGGGATTATGAACCAATGCTGATATTCAAAGAACTTATTCCTATGAAGCATTTTAGCCAATTCAATTTTGAGTGAAAAGCAATTTCTGCTTCGAAAAAACTTGAGTAACTGTCCCCCGACACCCTCGTGTTTATGCATTTGAGTTCAATATTATTTGTACAAATTAAACATTGGAAATTGTCATTATGAAATAGAATTCAAAGTATAAATTTGAAATAAACGTTAGAAGATTAATAAATATAAGATAAATAATGCAAACTTTGTAAAAACAAATCAAAAATAACATAAAAATAAAAAATATAATTAGAAAAGTGAATGTACATAAAGATATAAAGGCCAGAAAAATTATTATTAACTTACTTTGCAGCAATTGCGCAAGTAGTAGTTACTTGTTTTCACACTAAATGAATTTAAGATCATACAACATTATATATATATATATATATATATGACCAGTGTTAATGAAGTAATTCAAAGCCTTGACTATTCTGCTTGTTAAATTTCCTTCATTTCTGTTTTAACTTTTTGTACTACCTGTTAGTTAATGTATATTGAGAACGAATATATATATATATGGGTGAGTAACAATAAATGCTTTTGATGATGGATGCTGTAAATAGTATACGATTTTGGAACTTTATGCATAGAAATATAGCAGCAATCATGGCTGGTTAAATACTTCTTTATTCTTGACAAACACATTCTTAAAATAATATATGGAGTTTAAAGAGCTGAAAAATAATTATCAAATCATCCTTTAGGTTTATCAGAAATTAAGATGAATTATGACATCAAAGAGATTACCTGCATAGTGATTACTAGGGCTTGAATTTTGATGACATATGCATTTTTTCATTTTTCATTTTTTGAGTATTTTTGTCTTTTAAAAGCACTTTATAAGTTTTTATAGCACTTTTTTTTTTTTGTCATTTCAGAGCATTTTTAGCATATTATAGTAATTATACTCAAAATCTTCCTAATGTTCCTAATCTTCCTAAGTTGCTCTTTAAATAATGTTGTTTCATTTCCTATGAGCTCATTTGTGTTACACAGGCATATTCTATCCACAGAAAAGTGATTATGTAACCTGTTAGACCTGTCTCTCATGATAGGCTTTTTCTACAAGATATAAATGTCACTTCTTTGAATTTTTTCATACCTGCATTTCTTAGCCTTGTGCATGTTCAGTTCCATAGGATTACATGCAGAGGGGAAAAAGCTATTCCACAGATGCATTCTCAAAATTACATACTGAGAGCTGTGTGCAATGCATTTTCTTACCTCTAAAAAATCCTTTTTAATTTTTTTTTTTTTTTTTTTTGGGAGGGGGCTCAACTGAGACTCATTGGTGATAATTTAGCGAATGTCTTTGAATCTTTCCATTTTTATAAAGGGAACTATTGTATTAAGAGTGCCATGAATGCAAAAGATGTTTCTTTTACCTTGAATATACTGCTGAAATGAACAGGGTATTTTTTTTAATTTAGAATTTTCACTGTATGTGCTTTAAATCTTTTAGTTAGGGGCAAAAACTTTGTTTATATTAAATCATGGAATTTGCTGATGCAATAAAATATGTTGATAAATTAGGTGACGTTTTAAAAAAACGCCAAAGTTTTAAATACTACATTTGTTAAATTCGGCGCTATTTGACTAAACACTGTAGCTTTCAGACTATGCAGAAAATATCTTTCGTGTTGATAGAAGCTGACTCTTTTGAAACTGAAGGAAGGCAATTTACAATAAATGATTTCTCCAAGTATTCTCCATAATTGTAGTAGACATCGAGAAAAGCTTCTCTTGATATAAAAACTTGTATGTGGACAGCAGATGATCTTTTACTTTTGATAACATCAAGAAGATTTAATAATTCAGTGCAGTTGTCATAAATTTGTGTAAAGTTAAAAAAAAATCAAGTGGCAGGTGTGCATAATTGTTCAGGTTTTAATCCATTTATCAGTGTTTGCCCATTGTGTCACTTTTTTATTTTAAAGGGAAATTTTTTCCATTTTAGGTGTTTTTTCCAGCTATTTTTAAGGGCATTTTTAGTGAATTTTTATGTCACCAAAATTCGAGCTTTGGTAATTACATTGCTTGTTTGTTGTTATTACTCAAGTGATTTTTTTCTTTTTAATGAAGTTAAGTTTGAGTGAATTAAACAAAAATTCATCATATGCATCCCTGAATTTGATTGGAAGTTTTACTTGGAAATTTATTGTTTTTGTTTTTACTTTTTCAACAATGAATGATTGTAATCCTACTCATAATCCAGTTATCTATTTTGTAATTTTGGGTAATTTCAAGAATAAACATTTCTTTCTTTTCCTTTTTATTTATTTATTCTCATTTATAAAATGTGTTTAAGTAAAGATTACTTTTCTGATGATGTTAATTTTAATTGCATGCGACTTTAGTGCATATTTACTATAAGCATATTTTTCTATAGAGCCTTTTCTATTTATTTGTTTTTGTAACTGTTATCTTTGCTTAAAAGAAAAATTTTATATTTGCAATCATATAATAATTAATAGTTACATTTATAAAATACTTATTACTGAAATTTCCTTTGTTTGCAGGTAAATTATACTATGTAAATCAAGTTAAATGTGGAGTTTTCAGATGTTCTCTTTGCTCCTATGTTGCAGAAGAAAACTATGACTTTCAAGAACATTTGTTAGTTCACAAAAAATCATCTCCTTTTATGTGTGAAATTTGTAAAAAACCTTTTGCTCGAAAAGACTGTCTTAAAAACCATTTAATGATACATTTTGGTCAGCGACGTTTTATTTGTGAAATGTGTAAAAAAGCTTTTAAGCAAAAAACTTCTTTATATGCTCATTTAAGGATTCATTCTGGAAAGCGGCCTTATATATGTGAGGTGTGTAAGAAAAGTTTTATTCAGATGCGAGATTTGAAGCGTCATTTAAGAGTTCATTCTGGAGAACGGCCTTACATTTGTGAAGTGTGTAACAAAGCATTTAATCAAAAGGCAAACTTATGCACTCATTTAAAGCTTCATACATGTAAATAACTATATCAGTGTTTTGATTGTGGTAAAATGTGTACACCATGCAGTTTCTATACATGAAAAATTTTTTTTAATTGTATATATTCATTATACACCATGCCCATGGAAGTTCTTATGCAGCCTTTATTTTTACAACTGTTAGTCATAGACATACACTTCCTGTTATAAAAGTGTTTTAAGTGACAAAAAAAATTCATGTTTTGGCAATTTTAAGTTCTTAAAAAAGTGTATTTTGTAAAAGTTATAGTACAGTAAGACCCTGCTTAACGCTGTTTCATTTAGTGCTCTTTTATTTCAACCCGGGGATTCCACGAAATCGCTCGCAGCATACGGGGATTCCCCGAAATATTATGCAGCGATAGGTTTCAAATACACATCCGAAAGAGTGTACTTGTATTTCTTGTTTGGTGCGGTATTGTACAGACTATTTTGAAGGGGTAAATGTGGAAGATGTTGAAGAAATAATTCAAGAAGCAGCGGCTAGTCTTTCTAATGATGAGCTCTCAAGGAATTAACTGAACAAGAAGAAAACAAAAATGTTGACAGCAGTGATTCAGAAGAAGAGCAAAAAAGAACTTTCGATGGCGTTTGTAAAAGGAGTTTGTCTACCATAACTGAAATAATGGATCAATTCATTGAAAATGATCCGAATTTTGACAGGAGCTCAAAAGTAAGGCGTGGTGTTAGAGATGCTCTATCTGTTTATGAAGAACTTTAAGAGAACAACGCAAAAAGAAAAAGGCAAACAACATTAGATGCTTTTGTCACAAAAAGGCAGAACACTGAAAACGCGGAAGGCTAACTAAATATGACTGACTGAGAATTTTATTTGTTTTTTTTTTAAGAATATTCGTTTTGTTATTTATATTTTGTTTTTATTTTTGCAAGAAATAATAATGTGGTATTAATTTGGGCTTTAAGAAATAAATGTTTGGTTTTATTTTTATTAAAAAAAAACATACTTTTTAAATTTAATACCTAACCAATTTCCTAGCCATCTTCCCCTAACCCCAATATTTACATGTAAAGATAGCCTCGTTTAGCGCTGTTTCGCATTACGCTCTACTTTGATGGAACGTATCCCCCGCGTTAAGCGGGGTCTTACTGTATCTAACTTTTTATCATTTGTCATTTTCTATAGTTATGTGTAATAAACATAATGCTCATTGTAAAAAATAAAACACAAAACATTTGACTTCCATGTAACAAAAATTGATTAAGGTATTTAATTTCAAAATGTGAGATTTTTTATTCTTTCCTTTTGCATGGAGGAGTCAATTAAAAATTAATTTAGAATAATTGGAGGAGGAGGTTTCCTCTCTTTAATGTCATTTAATTATATTCTTTTCTGATTTGCTAGCGTTTAAATTTTTTTTAAGTTTATAATTCTGTTACTAATGATTTGTCAGAAGAATTTTTGTGCAAGTAATTAATTCACAAGCTTTCATATGCTAAAAATACTTCATTAAAATTTTCATGCACTTTTATTACTTTAAAATCATAATTCAATAATCATAAAATTAATTAAACTGGCAATTTAAAAAAAAATTTGCTTATACAAATAGTGTTATGAGTTGGCTATGTGCCAATAATGAAACCTACCATTGTTTCCTAGAACATGAATTTTATAAGATTTTGGGTATAAAATCTCCTTTTTGAACAAAATATGTATGCATATATATATATATATATATATATATTTGGTCCATGCTTTTAATGACAGTGTGCATAGCACTTAATAAATTCATATTAAAAATTTGTTTTTAAACTACTATTTCATATATATTTATGAAAAACTGTAAACATTCTTTTCAATTTATGTATAACTCTTAAAAATGTAATTAAAGGTCAAAATTAAATATTTTTTTCAGTTTCTGCCATGTGGGAGTTAAAATTTTTGATGTGCGGTTTTTTTAATGAGAATAAACTTTTATTAAATATAACTGCAGGTGCCAAGAAGCTGTATAAAAGGTTATATTTCTTAATTTTTACAAATAGATTTTTTAAATTTAAAAATACTAAACTCTGTATCCTTGCATCATTTCAAATATTTTTGCAGCTGGAATTGCATGTCTAAGACCAATGCTTATGAAAATAAAAACTTTAGTGGACACTACGAATATTAAAAAGTTTTACAATGTATTTTGTAAATCACAGATAAAAACATATTTTGAGATGAAAGTTATCAGTATATCATATGTATAAGTTATCAGTATATCATATGTATAAGTTATCAGTATATCATATGATTTAAAAATTATTTTTATGTTTTTATAGAAAGATCTCTATTAATTCCTTAATGGAATTTCGGGGTGTATGTTACAGGAACTTGAGAAATGTCTTCTTATAAATCAGAATTTTCTTTAGAAGTACCAGATTGTGGATCCTTTTGTATTTGTTGCTGAGTCTGTTTTCTTTTATAAGTTTTGTAGGCAATGAACATGTGACCTGGTGATGTAATAATATTATATTTTTTGTCAAGTCTGTTTTATCTGTGAAATAGGGCTACTAAATCTATTACTTGATTTTTTCTTAAATTTTTATAAACTCATTTTTATTTTTGTTACATGTTTTGAATGGAAAATGTTGGAAACTTTCTGCTGTTGTAGAGATCAGTAATCTTTTGGTAACCAGGCAACATCATTCTGAAAATATATGTTACTCTTTAGGCAAAGAAAAGTATACGTTTATATACAAATATATATATATATTAAAACAGTGCTGTGTGCGTACTAGTATGCAGAAGTTACATTGCAAAATCATTCAGCATGCCAGCCTAAGTTTACTATAATTTTTATGCACAACACATTAATTTGATTTTGTGTTACCAGCTAGATTACTTAGTATTTCAGCTTAGTCTTGTTATGTTTCCAGTGAACTAAATGAGTAGTTAATTCTTTGTTGGTTAAAATAATTTTAATGTAAACAGGAACAAATACGAAAACTGTGTTGCAAAGTTTAACTTCTTAGTACATTGTGTTGAAATTTTATGATAATTCAGTATTTTTTAAGTGCAGTACTGTAAAGTACAAATCCATTAAATAATTGTAGCATTAGGCAATTTATTAAAATTATAAAATGTATAATCATTGGTTTTTATTAGTAAGACTGTAATTCTTAACCACTGTCATGTTTGAGAAATTTTATTTATCTATAAGTTAACTCAGAATCTAAAAGCAGAATATTATATAAAACTGCATTTTGCTTTTAAAATAGCAAAATACAGTTTTTTTTTTTTTTTTTTTTTACACATGACTAAATTTTTTCTTTCTTTCTCTCTCTCTGTGTTTATATTTAATAAATTCTCAGGTTTCAGGTCTTGTTATCTCATTTCACGCTCACTGAAAAATTTTGTTTTGTCATGATGATGAAACATAAGTAGCTTTAGATGAATTATTGCTTCTATTTAATTAAAAATTCAGTGTTTATTCAGAAACCTGGCTCTGTTGATAATTCTTAGACTGTTTCTTGAAAAAGATTAAATTTTCAACAATTTCTTATTCTTATTTTTATTATGTTTTTTTAATTGAGTTGTTTGATTGTTGTGTTAGTTTTTAATGTATATGCTACCTTTTACACTGTTAACCACCTATTTTATTTTAATTATTATTTCTTGATTATTTAATTAATTTTGCAACATGCTGCATTAATTTTTTCATTTATAATTTTAATTTAAAATTTCTAAGCTTTTATTTCTTTCTCTCTCTCTCTATATATATATAGTTCATGGACTGCGACACTGGCACAACTTAAAAAATACAAATTCTGAGTTATGACCATTCCCAAGATTGTAAAATTGTTTTCTTTGCTGCAGCAGCACTGGTATATATTTAATTCAGAACTACACTAACAGAAATCAGTAGTGTCTTTGTTGTATTCCTTAGTTTCTCATGTACATTGGTTGCAATACTGAATTGCATTCGAAATCCAATGAAATAGGTAAACACATTCATTTCAAAATTTCCTTTTTTTAAGATGTGCCAATATTGCAGCCTATGGGCAATATATAACTGATTTAGTATATAACATATCCATTCCATAATTATTTGAACATTTGCTCCATTGTTGCCATTAATAAGAAATTTCTCTAATGCTGTATTTTAAGTTTGTCAATAAAGAAGGTATGTTTTTATTAATTTAAAATTTATTTCCAAATTAATAAAAACTTCAAAGCTTTACTAAAATTATTTGTTTTACTATCTCCATACAGGGTATACTGGAAAGACTTGGGAAATGAATTCTGATGTTGGCTTTGTCATAGATCAATGGTTCCAGTTGAAGAAACCAAAGAAAATTTCTTTTAAGTGGGAATATACATTTTAGAGATTTCTATTACTTTTGTCAAGTATAATGATGTCTCAACTCCACAAACAGCATCTTAATTCTTTACTAAAATGGTTCTATTATGGCTTTATACATGAGAGTAGCCTAATGTTTATATAGTGTATAAGAAAGCATTTAATATGGATGGCAATCTGAACAATAATTTAAAGCTTCACACTGATAAATATAAGTATATGCCATTTCTGTATGTATGGCTGGATGTACAGAATGCATGCAGAAATGTCTTTGTACGTATCATATGGCTCATCAGTACTGATTTTAATATGAAAATTCATATTTCCATAAGATTAAGAAAACTCATCATATGTATTGCAGTTCTCGATTAATATACACTAATGTTTGTGAAAAATGAGGAATTGTCAGAACTGAAGCGCTATGCTGAGCGATGAGAGCCTGTATACGTTGTGGTATTGGGTCTCATAGGTTCTGAATGTAATCCTGAGGAATGGCATTCCATATGGCTTCAACTTGACACCAAAGTCCAGTCTTAGTATATGCCCTATCAGCTGTATGAGCGAGTTGCCAACCAATGAAATCCCAGACATGTTCAATGTGCGGCATATCCGGAGAAGAAGGTGGACTTGTGCTCTAAAGAAGGCTTGTGCAGTCTGAGAAACATTGTGCATGGGCATTATCCTGCTCAAATACAGTGCCCAGAATATGTCGAAGAATAGGGAAGACTTGTGGCTCCACAACTTCCCTTATGTAGCGATCACTGTTGAGATTGCCCGCAATCTGCACCAAATGGGATCGACAATTATACCTAATAGCTCCCTACACCATGATTCCTGGCAGTTGTGCAGTATGATGGTGGTTTGTCTGTGATTCAGCGACAGTGGAATCCTACATAGAGGAGCCCTTGCATGCAGTTCATGCTGCAGCAGATGGCGACGAACTGCGAAGCTAGACAACAAAACACCTGTAGCTGTGCTCTAACATTTTGCTAACACATGAGAGGACACTGTATGATCCTTGTGCATTATGCTATGTACTGTTGTGACATTATGTTGCTTGTTGGTTGTGATTGCTCGATACGAAAGTCCACCCTCTTGGATACCACGATGAGGCCTCGTTTGAACTCTGTTAATTGTTGGTATGGCACCTTGTGCTGTTGACGAAGCATATTGATCTCTAATTAAACATTCATCACAGACAGAAGATGATAAACAGATTTCAATTCAACTTTACAGTCCTTTATATACATGGAACACGGGGCCGTCTCTCATCCCACGTATACTTAATCACTTTGTAATTCTAATCATTTGTATGTCTTACTCACTTTACATTTCCTTTAAGTTTGATTCAATTTGCATAATTCCATCATGGTGTTGGAATTTTCACAAACATGAGTGTATTTTATGATGAATGTTTTTAATGAGTTTTAATTTCTTTTCTATGATTTTAAATTTTAAGTGAATACAGCAAGTTCTCAGTTAATTTATACATTTACTCGTAGCTGTATTGATTTCACTGCAAAAGACCATAAAGTTTGGTTCAGTTTGCATAATTCCTCATGGTGTTTGAATTTTCACAAACATTAGTGTATTTTATGATGAATGTTTTTAATGGGCTTGAATTTCTGTTCTGTGATTTAAATTTTTTGTTTAAGTGAATACAGCAAGTTATCGGTTCATTTATACATTCACTCATAGCTGTATTGATTTCACTGCAAAAGACCATAAAGAGTCCAAAGGTCAGGTTTGAAAGGAAGTTTTCAGATTTAGTTTTTTCCCTTAATTTACTGGAAAATGTGACCTTCAAAACAATCTGATTTGCAAGGAGAAACTTTTTGTTCGCTATGTTTTCAACCAAACCTTTTTCCAAAGGAATCATTTTAACAGTTAGATAAATTTTCATGTTGAAGAACAAGTTTCTGAAAATGAAGTACAGTACAAAGTCCGTAATTCAGACGTCCATTATCCGGAATGATCTATAATCCGGACCTCAAGGCCACAAATGCATTTGCAAGCGTTTACCCATGCGCGCTTCCGATAGAAAGGGACGGAGAGGTTATTGAAAACTAAAAAATTTCGATTGACAAGTAGCGGTGTTCTGTTGACACAGCAATTAAAGGACTTGAACAGTGGAAACTTGTAACTGAACAGAAATTTGTCTGTTATAGATTAAAGAGAAAGTATTAGCACAAAACAAAGCAGCTTATACAACTACATTGAAAGAAATGTTTAATAAGGTAAACAATAAATATTAGCCTTTTTTTTTTTTTTTTTTTTGTAAATTTGATACCCTTAGATCATAATTGCTTTATTTCATAAATTACGGTTTCATATTTTTAATTATGTAATTTCTGCATGCCATCTTACCACATTTAAATTGATGATCTATAATCCGAAAAAATCCCTAATCCGGAATCGCCGAAGTCCCGACGAGTCCGGATTAAAGACTTTTCACTGTATGTAAGACTGGTATTTTATCCTGGGAACCTTTGTGGTATATGCAGGGCTTATTGAAACTACTAATTGAATTTAAATTCAACCACTATACTGTACTCGTTACTGGCCAGAAGATCAATTAACCTCGCCAACAAATTAAAAACTTTATTAATGAAAAACTGTTTACAACAAAATATAAATACATAATTTTAATTAATTAAAAATACACACTCCTACTTAGGAAAATGGAACACTTTTCTTCATATTCAATAATACCAATTATAACAATTGACATCTTTGTTGTAAATAAGATTATTTGTGCAACAATATACAATCTCAAATAAATTTTTATAATATACAGAGATTATCTAACAAAATGAATAACTTTTTCAATTTGTTTTTAACGTATTTTTACAGATAAATATATACAATAGTCAATAAGATTTCATAATCCAAGATTGTCCACCATTCATTTTTCTTTCTTTTCCTGCCTCTTCTTTTTTGGGAGCATTACCCATAATCAGTTCTTATTATGAGATCCATTTGTCTTCTAAAACAAGAAAATTTTTATTTAAGTTTGAATGCTTAGTTTCTAAAGCTAATTTATATTTGTTATTTGCTTGTACCCAATTAATGCATTCAAGTTCATTTTTGTATTCCCAATGATTATGTTCTTTTTTCGAACATTTCCCACATATTAATTCCTTATCACATTTATTTTGAAAATGGCCAAACTCTTGACATTTAAAACATTTTACAACATTTAGATACACTTTTTTTACTGTGATTCTATACCATTTCAAATTAATTTTATTTTGGTTTATAATCGGACCAAACTTATCTGATTGAATATTTGCTACCCAATGTACTTTTTGATTTTTAGCTTTTATTTTGAACAAAAGTTCAATTCCTCCATTTTCTAATATTTGATTTTGTCTTTTAATTGCTTCCAAAATTTCATCTTTATCCAGTTCTTCATCCACGTTGTATAATTTTAGGTTGTTTCTTTTTAGGAGCTTTTACTCTCAAAAGAGAATTCGTTTTTATTTCTCGTTCTAGTGAAACAATATCTTCTTTCTTCAAACATTGTACAGCCAATCCTCCATTATTCACTTTTCTGACATTTTTAATGCCAATCTTCAACTCAACTGGGTCAATCACTTTAACCACTTTTGATTTGACTTCTTCAGAAGAAGTCCCCTTTTTACTTGGATATAGTAGAACCATATGTTCTTCTATTTTCTTTTTTTTTTTTTTTTTTTTGATACATTTTCTTATCACTTATTTTCTGCTCATTTAGAACTTCAGCAAAAGTTCTTTCATGTTGTGGTTTCTTATCTAATATTTCTAGTTTTCCTTTTGAATTTTCAATCTCCATTGCTTGGGATACCAAATAACTAAAAACAACACTTCTTGTGTGTTAAAAACTTTCTTTCTTATTGCAATTGTAATTCTACTTGCATCTTCCAAACAAGTCTCAAATAGCCCTCAGACCACGACAAGGTACCAAACTCCGGGAAGTATTACTATTGACTATCAAATATTAAGTATAAATATACTTTTCAATAATAAACGCTTTTTCAATTCAATCAAAGTGAGCCAATAATTTCCTCTGAGGGGTACTGTATATAAGAAAGATTGTATTCAATAAAGGCAATCTTAGGAATCATTTAAGGGTTCATTCTGGGAAACTATCTTAAATTTGTGAGTCATTAGGCAAAACTCTTTCTAATCTTATACACCAATTTAATCATTCATATTCATGAATATCCATAGTATTCTACTCCTACCAAGAAGTATAAATATAAAACCGAAAATGAAAGTGCATCATGTAGTACTGAATGAATTCATATGCATGATATTTTTCATGAATATTATTGAATTAATTAAATTAAAGAAAAAAATTATAAAATGTAGAAAAAATTTATTTACGATGTTTTTAATTACTTTATGTTTCAGAATTAGATTCAAGAATGATGTTTTTATTTGAACTGATTTTGTAGTGTAAGAAATTGTTCATCATGTAGAGTATATGCATCTGAACATTTTAGTAACACAGATTAAAGAAATTCTTTTAAAATCACATGTTGTACTTTAGAAATTTATGAAAGGTTGTAAAATTCTGTTATTGGTATCATATAGAGAGAATAAGTATTTTCATGATAAGAATTTAAAGTAATTGGTGTAAGCAATTTATTGTTAATAATCATGCTAGATCCTGGTTGCCAGAAACTCAAATTATTATGTAGAACAGGTAACCATTTTCTTCTTTTCCAATATAGGTTGAACAATTTTAGGTGGAGAATATAGGTATCTGCTTTGTATATAGTTCACAGTGATTGATCTGTAGCTTCATACTGTATGTAAACATGATATTTTAATAATATGAAATTTGTATATGTTTTGGCAATGGGAAACATGGATGCTAATTTTTTTTCTGTTTTCTAGATTGTAGAACTCATTTCAATATTCCAATTTTTAAAGCAGTTTTGTATCAGTGAACGAACAAAAATAAATTTCATTTGTTTATATCATTATGTACTTTGGTTGCTAATTCATTACTGTA